TTTCTCCTCGTTGAACTTCACATTGTTTTGAGTGGCCCATTCGAAGATTTGGTTGATGTCCGCTTTGAGTCTCGCGGTGTCTTCGATAGAGGTCACTGCCATGGTAATCCAGGTGTCATCCACAAAGGAAGACACGGAGCTATGGCGTACATCTCTGTCTATACCAGAAATGAGAATGAGGAATAGAATGGAGCGAGTACTGTGCCGTGTGAAACAGATTTTTTTACCGTGGCTGCCTGGGACTTTACTCTGTTTACTATTACTCTGTGTTCTATTTGTCAGGAAGTTATAGATCCATCTACCAACTTTTCCCGTTATTCCTTTATCACGCATTTTGTGTGCCATTTCACCATGGTCACACTTGTCGAAAGTTTTGTAAAGTCTGTGTATACAACATCTGCATTTTCTTTATCCTCTACATCCATTTCTGAAGTTTCATTTCAGTGGGGTAACTTAGTCTCTCCTAAGCCACTTTAAATTTGTACTGGGATTGTTTTTGGAATCTGTAGGCAACATTATGCCAATTTTAAGCATTGTGCAAAAAAATTTCCCCTCTAATTCATGAAAAACATAACTTTAGAGTAACTTTTTCGAAATGATTCGATATCTAGTAACTGATTAATCTTATAGACAGAATAATTGTTTTCTGTATGTGTTAATTTTTCCATATAAGAAAAATTTTAAAAACTTATTTCCGAGAATACATCCATTTTAACTGCAAATGTCTATTCTGATGGGTTTCAGTGTTTCGTTGAATGCGAGATTCACAGGTTTCATTGCTCTCAATATGCAAATTTTATTAAACAAATTTTAATATTAATATCCGTTCAAAAACTAAGCAATGTGTCTTTTGATTGGCTGCAAACTAATAATACTAATATATTCAAAAGCAAGAATGATATAAATTTGAAATTTTCATGAATTTTTAAACAAAACTTAGAATTGCTGGATCCTTATGAATTAATGGAGGCCTTTTTTTTATAATCTCTAAACCGTCTGGTATTCATTTTGAGCTGTGTTAATATTGATTTGCCATTTTTATTGCATAAATGTTCCCCACTAATAACGTGGAAATATCTCTTGTTTGGTTTCCATCAATAAGCCAAGTGGAAAGCATTTTTGTATTGAGTTTTGTAGTGTTGGAGCCAATTTGTCATTTATGTTTTAGTTGTATATTTGTAGAAAATGTTAAGATATAATTGAGAAAATAAAACAGAATTATTGAAATCTCTATTCTTCACTGAGTTTTCTATAATTTCATGAGTTTAGCGAGCTCGTAAATACAATATTTTCTGCAGTATTATGCCAGAAAAAGTCATATTGCTAGCAACAGTGCATTTGCCTCAAATATTCGATACAGGTGAAGTATAAATGTAGACCATTCCCGGTTATGATTCTTGTGCAATAACTCTAGAAATCATCTTTATTTTGTCAACACTGGTGTATCCTAGTTAGTTTATTTTTTGTTAATTTTATTTCGAAATAGTATTCTATTATTGTTCATTGCATAAGTAGAGTTTGCCTCTTCTGAGAAACATTAACCTTAAATTGCTTAAACATCATACGTAATGGTTGAAACTTTTGGGGGCTTATTCTATACAGAAGCAAATATCTCAAACTTACCAACATCTTAATAAACTTGTAATTATTGTACTCAGTGCAATAACTGAGGAATGTTTCAGAGTCCTCAAGACTATGGTGCTCATCACTTGCTCCTAGGCTGAGGGGCTGATTACACTGGTCAACCAAAATGTTTCCTAGACCAGAGTAGCAGTTCCTAACTGATTTTAAGTCACTGATAATAAATATCATTGTTAAAATTGTTTGTTAGCTCTACTTTTCGATATATACCTACGTGTCACAACAGGTTCCAACCGGCTTGCGCAGTGTGTTTCTTACCACACTCAGTCTCACTGACCTTCATTATTGTTCCAGCAGTCATAGAAGGTGGTTGTGATGTGTAAGTTTATATTTTGAGATAAAATGCAGGTGATTTTCTCATCTGCATGTAATATGCATGTGAGTCATATTAATTTTATTATCCTACTGAATGATATAAATACTTCTGCTTAGCTATCATACTCTGCATTATAATGATAAATTAATGAATAAATTTTGTTTATCTTCTGTTTATTGTTTTCTTCTTTCAGATGCCTCGTATTGTGTAAATAGAGCAGACAACTTCTGCTGCATTTGTGGTGAAGTGACCTTTGCATCACAGAAGCTCCGTAAAACTGTTATGGTTAGAAAGGCATATCACCTATAATTTGGATGCAGGATTGGTGACCAGGATTAGAACTGAGCTCCACACATATACTGCAACAATTGTGCTACTAACCTTCGCCAATGGTTGAACAGGAACAGGAAAGGAATACCTTTTGCTGTGCTATTGACATGGGGGGAGCCAATAGACCATAACAATTGTTATTTCTGCTTTGTACTTCCAATACAAAAGGGGCTTGTCAAAGAAAAAAAAAGTCCATTGAATATCCAAACATTCCATCAGCTATTCGCCCAGTTCCATATGGAGAAGGTCTACCTGTTCCTGTTGCACCAACTTTGGTATCCTTCGAGTCAGATGAAGAAAGTGGCGAGGAAGAAGAGAAGGATGACAGTGCTGGATTACACAGTGACCGAAACTTTGATGAAGCACACTCCTCTAGGCCACAACTCATAACAAAAGGGGATCTCAATGACCTCAGGGATCTGCAGCTACCGAAAAATAAGGCAGGGCTGCTAGGCTCTCGTCTTCAACAGTTGAATCTTTTAGCAGCTGATGTGAAGATTTCAAAATTTCGTGACCGTGAGCAGCAGTTCAACGATTTCTTCGTAATGGAAGGTGATTTAGTGGCTGCAACAATATTAATGATCTAATGGAAGCACTTGGCATCGACTGCGAACCCAGTCACTGGAGGCTGTTCATAGATTCATCAAAAACGAGACTGAAAGATGTCTTGCTGCATAACAAGAGTAAACCAGTTCCTGTGGGCTATGCACCTCATATGGAAGAAACTTATGAGCATATAAAGCATATATTGCAATGCATCAAATATGACGAACATTAATGGCAGCTCTGTGGTGACTTAAAGGTTGTTGCTCTTGTAATGGGCTTGCAGGATGGATACACCAAGTACTGCTTCTTTCTGTGTGAATGGGACAACCATGCAAGAGATTCCCACTACATCAAGAAAGACTGGTCTTCAATTGTCCTCAGATTCGAAAGGTTCTTAAAGATTGTGACTTTGAATTAGACCTTCATGAGGAGGAGAAAGCTGCTTGGGAAGCACTGAAGTTAGTGGCGAAGGGATTTCTCGTAAACAGAAGGGAAAGCAACTATGAAGAATTGGTAGAAAACCTCATCAAGGCTTCCAAGAACATGGGATGTAACATGTCACTTACAATCCACTTTTTGAATTCACATTTAGACTTTTTCCAGCTAACTGTGGGGCAGTTAGTGACGAACATGGTGAAAGGTTTCACCAAGATGTATCAACCATGGAAAAATGGTACCAGGGCAAATGGGGAACAAGAATGCTTGCAGATTATTACTGGACATTGGCAAGAGATGATTCTTCAGCCCACTATATGCGCCAAGCAAAACGGCAGAAAGTAGGTGCGGATTAGAGTTTAAAACATATTGACACACATTGTAAGTTATAATAAAATATTAAAAAATTACGTGTCTCGTGTCTTTAAACTATAGCTAATAAGCATTTTTCAAGGTGTCATTTGGATTCAGGACATGAAAATACATTATCTCATTTAAGAAGCAAGTATACAACTTTTCAAAAACTGTTGACCAGTGTTACCTCTTCCACTGTCAGCATTTCTCTAAAATCTTCAGACTATGCCGATGTACCATACTGACAAATCCACTGGATCGCGAAGTATATACAAGACACTCAGATCTTGCATATGTTTAATTCTGTCTCATTGAGTACTACAATGTCTGGGGATGTTTCCATGGTTCGTTCATGTCATTCCTAATTCTCATTTGTTATTCCATCTGTTTTGGTGTACCATACCTTCAGCTTCTTTTATAGTACTGCATTTTGGTTTGTAGTTTCTTGGATTCCTCGTCTTTGCTCATGGGTCAGACGGGTAGAAGGGGTTGTGCAGGTTGGTTCTATGTAAAGTGGGATGGATTTTGTGAGAGGCTGTGTGAGGATGGTATTTGTGCTGGAGTAAGTAAGGAATATGGGTGTGGAGTGTGGTTTATACTTTTTGTGTTTGGTTGGGAGGTAAGCTAGGGGTAGAGACGATTCTATAGGTGGTCACCCAGAGGCCGAGTTTCAGTACTTGCCCTGTCTCTCATTCCAATCTCTGGCGTCTTTGTACCGTCTCAGTTGCTCCTGTTTCTTGTTCTGTCATGGAGGTACACATGGCGATATTTTCCTAAGTCTCTTAACCGTGGTTTCTGCTGCATGATCCTATTTCGTACCATTTCTGTCGTGGGATCAGTTTGACTTGACGCCTTGTTCCCTCGAATACCTCCCATGTCTTTGAAAAAATTTGTCATCCGGGACTTGTCCTCCTCACCTGTTATGTGATGGTATTTTTAAACTGTTTCCTCCATCTGTTGTCTTTCGTCATAAAGCATCCCTTCAGCCTTTTGAAGCCCTTCCGGATCCCTCTATCCGATTTGATCATCTTTGCTGATGAATTAGGCACTTGGGTATCTTTATTGTGTGTCTAATTCATCATCCTGTCGGTTCCCTGATCCATTTATCTACATTCCTGTCAGACAGCAACATTATGGAATCTTTATACAGGAAATTCTACGCTTACCTAACCTATAGGCATTACCTACTTCTACCTGTTTATTTACCAGTTTTCCTTCCAGGATTAGCTCTGTGTGTTTGTTGGGAGGGGGGTGATGGGATTATCTATGTTTTAAAAATAGAAAGGCTCACTGTCCTAGCCATATGATTTTAGACAACTTCTGCATTGCCCTCTAAACATTCCACATTGACACTAACCCCTTCTTTGATTTTCTACAGAAGGCGACATAAATTAGTGGAGTGTGTAAACGAATCTGGGTAAGCCACCACCAGCCTTTGTGACGAAGACTCTGAATTACATTGAGGAGTTGCTGATGTCGTTAGGGAAAAGTTACACGTTTCCCTGTCCTGAAGAGAGGGCAGCCTCCGCCCCTCCAGCCATCCTCGTCTCCACACCTGAAGAAATAGAGATCGTCATGGCTATGGACTCCGAGAATTGCACCAGAAGAGCATCGGAAGTTTACAACGTCGCCTCCAATAAGGACATTGTAGAAGACATAAGTTACAACTTTATGAGGAGGTACAAAAGTCATTTCAATGTTGATATCACCGAAGACGAAGGTTGGACCACTGTGGAGGAAGTAGCCCTAAAAATAAAACGTGATATGGACAATGAGCTTCTGGAGGAGGCGAAGGCGGCGGGGGAACAGAAAAAAAACTATAAACTTTTGCCATCACCGAAAAGGTCTCCAAAAAAGACATTAGCAGATGCCTCAATAGAATTACAGCCCAAAAAAATCCCTAGAAAATCAGGTAAGAATTACTATAGGGTTTCTCCTAAGAATTCCCCACCAGCTCCGAGGAAGCTGCTTCCGGAGATCTTGGAATCGTCAGTGCAGCAGTATCGCCCGGTATACCAAACCGATTATCGAATCTCCAATCTTGTGCCTAGACCTTACTCCCCAAAATATTCTGGAAACAAGAGTGTGCGTCCTATCAGGGTTCCAGTAGCCTCCCCTCGAACTCTCTTTACCAGTGGAATAACGACGCCAGAAAAGACACTCGGTGAAGAGGAAGTGCCAGAGCCTAAAGAATCAAAGGACACTAGAGGTAAAATAAAGAAAACACAAAATGTATGGGAACCTCGGGAAGATACGTGTGCAGATAACAGAGAGAGTCCATTAAATTCATTTGCGAAGAGCAATAAAGATTTTGTAAATTTTAAGCAGTTTACTGAGCCTATAGATATAGTTCAAAAACCACAAACCTTGTCGAATGATGAGAAGAGGCATCCTAGCACATCCAGTTCCCCTTATAGTTTATATTCTTCTCAGGAAGACATGAGTTTTTGTGTAGAGAGAACTAGAAAAAAACATGAAATTTCTCCTCCATCTTCCGATGAGTCTTTTGTCCCTGATGGGTTTGACGTTCTCCATCGGCGGCATTCCTTTGACCTAGACCCCGAGGAAAGTCTTGCGTTAAGTACTCTTGAAGCTGTAATGGTGGAACCAAAACCATTAACACTTTACAACTGCTCAAATCAGCCGTTTAATTCTTTCAAGGAACTCATGGAAATGAAGGGTAAAGCAATTGATGAGATACTTAACTCCAGTGCAGAGTCCAATGAAGATATTTCTAAAGATAAACTGTCAAGCCCTCCTGTGAGCAGTGACGATAATCTTGCGACACTGAATGACTCTCTAGAAGATAGCGTAAATAATTCACTGCTGACTAGCATGGACAGTGCAGAGGAGCGTAAAGTTAGCTCAGCCATAAGTGACAATACCCTCAGCCGAGACTCTCTTGATGGGTTCCTCAATGACGACATCAAAAGTCTCAGAAGTTGTGTGACGCAAGAAAATTTATATGGTGATAAAACGAGAGAGACTGTACAGAGAGAGGAAAGTGTTGACTTCACGTTTGAGAGCGTTGATGATGATTCTCCAATTCATTTTGCAGAACACACAGAAGTGGAGAAGAAAGACAGTAAATTCTCATTCAATTTCAGTAAAAGCACGCCAAAGAAATCAGACCAAGGTAAGGAAAACGAGGAAAAGAATAGAACAAGTCCTTTCCATCTGTGTAATATTCTCTCGTTTGGAACAAAATGTAAAAATAAAAGCAAGCCCAAGTCGTCTGAAGGTGACGTCCCAAAAAATGAAAGCTGGACACTGGGAACCATCGAGGGTTATCTTCTGAAGAACAGTCAGGAACCTGTGCAACTTGGCCTCCTAAATGATGAAGATGTTGCGCTCTACGAGGCTAAGAAAGATGGCAGCATCAGTGTTCACGATAACAGGGAAATCCCTGTCGTGAAAGTTAGCGACGAGCTGATGCCAACGACCCCCGGATCGTCCTACCAGAAACGTTCAGCGCCCAACCCTCTCCAGCGCAAATATGCTTCATGGAAGCCCCAGGACATTGAAAACTACTTGCTGGAGCACAATATGAACGAAAACCTCCGCTTAGGACTCCTCTCTCAGGAGGACATACAAATCTATGAATGGAAGAGAGCAACCGGTAAGTGGTACATGGAAAAGTTTAGTTTGTGTATAATTACATTGATAACACATCGTTAAAATTTAAAAAAGAAAGATCTTTAAGTTTAATTAAAGGTTTAATAGTTTTCTAGCTATTCCTCTAGTTGGCTAACGCAAACTTTCCAAAACCACTCAACCTTAGCAAATGTTTAGATGGCACTTGGAAGAGTCCTGTGTTCCAGAGAAACAAATTTAACTCCCCAGTATTTGGCCTGTCAGTAAATACTTTCTCTTTTCTTTAACTGGTAACCCTATTTTGCAGCATATGTTTTATTTCTTTTTCGACTTTGCAATGTTTTCATGGTTTACGATCTTTTATTCCATTATTCCACCCCCTTCCTCCGTCCCTGGCTCTTCTAAATTCATGTTCTATTTATAATAAAATACAACATATCATTTTGCTGCTAGTTTAGATTTTTCTCATCCTCTCTCTCCCCCTCACGTGTATTTTCTAGACTCCATATAATAAAAATCTAATACTGTATAAGATAACATTGAAGTAAGAAAGAAAGAAAAAACTCTAGTGAGAAGAATATTTTAAGAATTTTTAAGTCATGGTTGACCCAGAGAGAGATAAGAACTTCTACTGTATATCTTGATCTGCTCAACTTTCACATTATTCTTAATGAACTTCTGTTTTAGAATTCATTGTCAAGTGCATTAGGTTATATAATTTAATGTAGTATCTGTTCAAGTAATATTGCAGTCATTGGCGTTATTGTAGCAAATGATTGTGTGTGTCGCCATAGTGATAAAATTTTTTGGAAGGGATAAGAAAAAGTGTTTAACGAATTCTTAATTTTGGTCTACTTCCACTTCTTGTATTAAAAACCTACCACAAATATCGTTATAATTTGTTCATTGGAAAGAGTTTTCCCACATTTCCAGCATTTTTGTTTTTTAATAAATATTACTGCCATGACTAGGTTAAATTTGTTATAAAAAGCAAAATTAAAATATATTTTAAATAGGAGTTAAAACACACACACACACACAAAGTTGTTCTTAGCAAATAGACTTAAAAAGAAGCACAAAGGTATTAATTGCTTCAGCTACCTGCCAGTTTACCCTTCCCCTCAGTCCATCTTATCTCCTCTAGTTGTGCGTAAGCAAAGCACAGGAGCAGTGGTGTAGAGTAGAGTTCACCACTACAGTCACCACCAACACTGGCGCCTCCTAGCCCTGAGTGGCCCACCTCTTGCAGTAGACCAGTAGAGTGAGTACGGTTTTGTTTTTCAGTTGAATTTTCTAATAGTTTTTTCCTTTCACCCCAACTGCTTTCATTAGAGGATATTTAGGTAAATATATAGTTACATATGTTTTGTAAGAAATGCTGATGATCAGAAACATTTATTACGTAATTTTTTATAGTTGTCCTTTAAAGTATCTTGACTGATAAAACACTGATGTTCGAACATCTCATTACTAAATGTTGATGGATAGTTTTAAACGTTGGCTGTTATACAAGTGGCTCTTTAATTTTATAGGCCTCATCTTTCTATTGAACTAATGTCAATCACTGGTTCAGTAATTTAAGATGCTATTTTCTTATTAAAGTAACAAATTTATTTTTTATTTACTGCAGCAGTACAAAATATAAATAAGGCTAAAAAGTGAAAGGTTTACGTAGTCTCCATATAACAAATACCCAGAAAATTTTATTTGGATAAAACTTTTAGTAAAATGATTTATTAAGACTAAGTAATCAAGACAAAATCTTCATATTAAGGAATTATTACTGTGTGATAGAGATAGACTGCAAATAGTTTGCTCACAAATTGTATTAAACATTATTCCAAAAAATTATTTGACATTTTATAAATATTATTGTAAGTGGCCATATATTATGTATAGTTATACAGTTAACTCATCGTTAAAATTAAAAAAAAAAGTCTTAAAGTTTAATTAAAGCTTTAATAGTTTTCTAACTATTCCTCTAGTTGGCTAACGCAAACTTTCCAAAACCACTCAACCTTAGCAAATGTTTAGATGGCACCTGAAAGAGTTGTGTGCTTCCGGAGAAATAAATTTAACTTTCCAACATTTGGCCTGCCAGGCAGACTGACAGGCAGAAACAGAGAGACGGACGGACAGACAGAGAGAGAACATCAGAATATCCTATTTCTCTAACTTTCAGTAAAACAAAACCTTCAATAAACGTGTGTTTACCTTGCCTTCCTCATCCTTCCACAGGAATGTCCCCCATCTGCGACACCAGTTGGACTCGCGAGACACTTAGGAAGAACAAGATCGTTAGGAGTTCTACCTCATCCTCCCTCTCGGGCTCCTTCCCTCCTTCTCCGGACATGAGCGGGAGCTTGACGGGAGAAAGTGTTGACAATGTCACCGACACCACCATTAAGAAGGCTACCGTTGCTGCTCATGGTGAGAGAGCCATTGATGTACCAGCCTCTCCTCTCGTCTTGCCTCCCCGACGACGTGAGTTTACTTTTTATTCCGTGCTTTACCCATTTATGTTTGCCGGTATAGTCATAGTCATTTCCTCTTTACCTTTGACTGGGGTACTTCTATATCTCTTTTGGTCACTTGAAACCTTTATCGGATTAGAAATTTTTAGAATGGAGGTTAGTTACATATGGAGATGCACATAATGAGTCCAGTAACATGATCTCTTACATTCTATTGTTTAGGCAAAATTATTTATTAATGAACTATAGAAGGCAAAGCTGGGATAATTTGGAACAGTTTTTAGTAATATGTCATATGAATAAAATGTCTGGATATTTCTTGAACATTTATGAAAGTATTCTCTGTAATTTTTGGAGTCTTTGGCTTCCAGGTGCAGTGAAACAGTGACAATCATTCTGGTTAAAAATAAGTTTGTTAGGCGGCTGGTTTATATATATACGTCCAGTCACCTGGACGTATATATTGCCAATAAAGCACAGGGAATACAGTCACAGAAACCCAAGGCAAACGGAAACCAAGCCTGTGCACATACTATGCACTTGGTATCTGCAGACATGGGAAATCTGGAAAAACAGACGGGACGTGCAACTATGACCACCCTAGAAAATGCAGTGCCCATATGACAACAGGAAAATGCAAACTCCCTTCCTGTAAGCTTTTTCACCCTGAAATGTGTACCTCTTCAGTACAGGAAAGACTGTGCTATAACTTAAATTGCCAGGCACACCATCTAAAGGGGACAAAAAGATACAAAACATCCAGGCCATGGGAAAACCTGGGTAGCCACAGCCACTCAAGAGGGAGAGGTTTTTTAGTGCCAGGAAGGAAAAAAAAACTGGCAGGAAATGGCAGAAATCGTACACCAAATCCAGTCATTCCTGGAGTGGAACCACAGTCGATGGCCTCCACTCCAAACCAACAGATACAGATACTAATGCCGGAAAAAAATACCCCCTCCCCAGTACCAACAATACCACCAGTCCGATGACATTCTTCTTTGCAATATACAGGGTCTAAAGCCAGCAACAAACAACAAAATACTTTCATCCGTGGACTGCTTGCAGAGGCAAAGGCAATGTTCGCGGCTTTCACTGAGACCCACATAAAGGATCACTTGGACAACGAAATATGGATCCCAGGTTACAACCTATACAGATGTGACAGAGTGAAAAAGGCAAAAGGGGGGGGGGGTTGGCCTGTACATTGCAGAGTCACTTGTTTGCACAGAACTGCTTAATGCCTCAAATGATGTAGTGGAAGTTTTAGCAGTAAAGATCGAGAACCAAAACCTAGTCATTGTGGTAGTCTACAAGCCTCCGGATGCAACATCCCAGCAATTCCAGGAACAGCTGTTAAAAATTGACCACTGTCTGGAAAATCTTCCAGCTCCTGCACCCAACATCTTTCTCCTGGGGGGATTTCAACTTAAGGCACCTAAAATGGAGGAATATAGCAAAAATATTGTTGCAGTAATAACACCAGGAGGCAGCTCTGATGAAAACTCACACTCACACGAGCTTTTAAATCTCTGCACAAAATTCAATTTAAACCAGCAAATAATAGAGCCTACTAGACTGGAGGATATACTAGACCTCATCTTCACTAACAATGATGATCTGATAAGAAATGTCACCATATCAAAAACAATATACTCAGATCACAACATAATTGAGGTTCAGACATGTATGCGCGGAGCCCCAGACCGACATAATGAGATTAGTCACGAGGGTGCATTCACCAAATTCAACTTCAATAACAAAAACATAAAGTGGGACCAAGTAAACCAAGTCCTAACCGATATAAGCTGGAAAGATATACTAAGCAACACAGACCCCAACTTATGCCTGGAACAGATTAACTTGGTGGCACTCGATGTATGCACAAGGCTTATTCCTCTAAGGAAAAGGAGGAGTAGATGTAAAATAGAAAGAGACAGGCGCTCCCTTTACAGGCGAAGGAAAAGAATAACAGAGCGGCTAAAAGAGGTCAATATATCTGAAATGCGTAGGGAGACACTGGTCAGAGAAATAGCAAGCATCGAACTTAAGCTAGAGGAATCTCATAGGAGTCAGGAATCGCGGGAAGAACTAAAAGCCATAAATGAAATCGAAAGAAACCCAAAGTATTTCTTCTCCTATGCCAAATCAAAGTCGAGAACAACGTCCAGTATTGGGCCCCTACTTAAACAAGATGGGTCCTACACAGATGACAGCAAGGAAATGAGTGAGCTACTGAAGTCCCAATATGACTCAGTTTTTAGCAAGCCGCTAACCAGACTGAGAGTCGAAAATCAAAATTATTATTTTATGAGAGAGCCACAGAATTTGGTTAACACAAGCCTATCCGATGTTATCCTGACGCCAAATGACTTCGAACAGGCGATAAATGACATGCCCATACACTCTGCCCCAGGGCCAGACTCCTGGAACTCCGTGTTCAAGAACTGCAAGAAGCCCCTATCACGAGCCTTTACCATCCTAAGGAGAGGGAGCATGGACACGGGGGTCGTCCCACAGTTACTAAAAACAACAGACATAGCCCCACTCCACAAAGGGGGCAGTAAAGCAACAGCAAAGAACTACAGACCGATAGCACTAACATCCCATATCATAAAAATCTTTGAAAGGGTCCTAAGAAGCAAGATCACCACCCATCTAGAAACCCATCAGTTACACAACCCAGGGCAACATGGGTTTAGAACAGGTCGCTCCTGTCTATCTCAACTATTGGATCACTACGACAAGGTCCTAGATGCACTAGAAGACAAAAAGAATGCAGATGTGATATATACAGACTTTGCAAAAGCCTTCGACAAGTGTGACCATGACGTAATAGCGGACAAAATGCGTGCTAAAGGAATAACAGGAAAAGTCGGTCGATGGATCTATAATTTCTTCACTAACAGAACACAGAGAGTAGTAGTCAACAGAGTAAAGTCCGAGGCAGCTACGGTGAAAAGCTCTGTTCCACAAGGCACAGTACTCGCTCCCATCTTGTTCCTCATCCTCATATCTGACATAGACAAGGATGTCAGCCACAGCACCGTGTCTTCCTTTGCAGATGACACCCGAATCTGCATGACAGTGTCTTTCATTACAGACACTGCAAGGCTCCAGGCGGATATCAACCAAATCTTTCAGTGGGCTGCAGAAAACAATATGAAGTTCAACGATGAGAAATTTCAATTACTCAGATATGGTAAACACGAGGAAATTAAATCATCATCAGAGTACAAAACAAATTCTGGCCACAAAATAGAGCGAAACACCAACGTCAAAGACCTGGGAGTGATCATGTCGGAGGATCTCACTTCAAGGACCAACATTGTATCATCTCATCTTCTAGAAAAATGACAGGATGGATAAAGAGAACCTTCAAAACTAGGGAGGCCAAGCCCATGATGACACTCTTCAGGTCACTTGTTCTATCTAGGCTGGAATACTGCTGCACACTAACAGCACCTTTCAAGACAGGTGAAATTGCTGACCTAGAAAATGTACAGAGAACCTTCACGGCGCGCATAACGGAGATAAAACACCTCAATTACTGGGAAGCTTTTGAGGTTCCTAAACCTGTATTCCCTGGAGCGCAGGCGGGAGAGATACAGGATTATTACACCTGGAAAATCCTAGAGGAACTAGTACCGAACTTGCACACGAAAATCACTCACTACGAAAGCAAAAGACTTGGCAGACGATGCAACATCCCCCCAATGAAAAGAAAGGGGTGTCACTAGCACATTAAGAGACCATACAATAAGGGTCAGGGGCCCGAGACTGTTCAACTGCCTCCCAGCATACATAAGGGGGATTACCAACAGACCCCTGGCAGTCTTCAAGCTGGCACTGGACAAGCACCTAAAGTCGGTTCCTGATCAGCCGGGCTGTGGCTCGTACGTTGGTTTGCGTGCAGCCAGCAGTAACAGCCTGGTTGATCAGGCTCTGATCCACCAGGAGGCCTGGACACAGACCGGGCTGCGGGGGCGTTGACCCCCGGAACTCTCACCAGGTAAACTCCAGGTAGACCTGAATGTCAGCTTCTCTCTGCGAATTTACCACAAACTTGCAACCCTCCCTTCCCTCACGTTATTATTGTTACAACTGTATTCACCACGTACTACTTTGTGTTGTGTTCAAGCCTTAGAGGTTCTATCTGACAACGTATAACCTTGTAATAGTTGAATCTTAGCTCTTGTACCGTCGCTTTTTTTGTTTCATTCAAAATAAAGTATGTATTCCTAAAAGATATTTCTTTCAAAATAAAGTTTGTATATTTTTAAGATGCTAAAAGCCTTAGCAACAAGGTATATTTTTGATAACTTTGAGATCCGAGAAAGATATCCTCTTATTTCATAACCCCAGCCACCTGTAAGTCAGGTATTAACGTTGAAGAGTTGAAGCAAATCAGATTTGGTGTGCAGCAGTTATCACATGGACACAAACATCTTATTTTTTTAATTGCCTATTTTTTCAGTTCAAACCTTCCTCTAAGAAACGTCAGCTTTGAATTCAATCTGAAAAAGAATTTTCTTATATCAGAGCGACCACTGTACTAAAATAAATCAGTAATGAGATGAGGCACTCAGAAGTTATTGTATGAAAATCAGGATTTAAAAATATCAGTATCTTCTATAAAAAAGTAAACTGTGACCAACACAGGCCACAGATTCAAACTTTAATGAAAGTAAAATTCATTAAATAAGAATTATGTTAATTTAATCTGTGATAAACTGATTTATTTCTAATCAGAAGAGATATTCTACAGCCGTTTCACTTAAATGTTATTACTAAAATTGGCATATTAAAACTCGTATAACCTAAAATCAAAACAAAGCTTCAATAGACGAAAACATTATTTTTTTATTAGCACATCGGCCGTTTCCCACCAAGGAAGGGTGGCCCGAAAAAGAAAAACTTTCACCATCATTCACTCCATTACTGTCTTGCTAGAAGCGCGCTTACACTACAGTTATATAACTGCAACATTGGCATCACTCCTTCAGAGTGCAGGCACTGAGGAAAGCATATCAGCACTAAAAGTTTAAAGACGACCAGAAGAAGCGTTCTTTAGTCGTGCAGTGGATCCAGCAAAATGTGCCTGAAGGCAAGAAACTTTTCATCCCTTTCGTTAGATGGATTATCCATTAAAGATTGCTGCTGTTCTCAATACTTGTGTTTTAATTAGGGAAAAAAACGTTAAACCAGTCGATGTTATACTCATACAGTGCTTGTGGAATGTAATGCATTCAGTTTCGATTCTAGCAGGAGAAGGATAAGTCCAGCTCCTTGTATCAAGAGTCCCTCACCAGCATAAAGGCAATGCAAAACTGTGCAAAAAAAATTACTGTACTATTTCAAAATAAAAATTATAAAAATGGCACCCCCACA